GTCCTGGTGCCGAGCCTGCGGGAGCCGCCCGCGCCGGGGCACGGGGCTGCGCTGGGCCTGGCCGGGCGGGAGCGGGGAGCCCAGCTGCGGCCTCGAGCTGTCGCCCTCCCCGTGCGCCTCTGCCCGCCGCGCTTCGGGGCTCACCGCTCAGGCGAGTTCTCCCCACGCAGATGACGAGGACAGCGATTATCAGCAGGAGCCCTACAAGGAGTCGTACAAGGACCGGCGCAGGCGGGCGCACACCCAGGCGGAGCAGAAGAGGCGAGACGCCATCAAGGTAACGCGAGAGGCTGCCTGTGCTGTCAGAGCGCAGCGACTCGCGGGTTCCCGGGGCCCTGTGGCACCCAGCACCCCGCTGTTTTCAGCACCTTCCCCTTCATTTTGCTGCTGGATCTACCCTCCCCAGACACAAGTGCGCGGGGGGAGCTGGGATGTGGCGCCTTTTGAACCCCCCCCCTCACATCGCTGAACTCCAACGCACGTGCTCTGGCTCTGCTTCCCCACAGAAAGGCTACGATGACTTGCAGGCCATCGTTCCCACCTGCGAGCAGCAGGATTTCTCCATAGGCTCCCAGAAGCTGAGCAAGGCCATCGTCCTCCAGAAAAGTGAGTCTTGAGGGTGGGGAGAGGGAAGGGGGTGCTATCAACCCCCCAGACGCCTCGCTAGAGCCCTGCAGCGTGGAGGCTCAGCACTTTGGGACCCTCTGGTGTGATGATGCTCTGGGGGACCCCCGGTGCTGGCCACCTCCCCGAGGAGAATCAGGGCGGCCAGGAGCTGATGCTGCCTGGGCTCAGGCACCTTCTGTGGGGATCTCGGGGGCTCGTGTGTGCTCTCGAATCCTCAGTCTGTATTTTCATGCTCAGCCATCGACTACATCCAGTTCCTGCACAAGGAAAAGAAGAAGCAAGAGGAGGAAGTTTCTACCCTCAGGAAAGACGTGATGGCCTTGAAGATCATGAAAGTGTAAGGGAAGAGCTGTTGGTTGCTGCCCTCCTTTTCCTGCTGTTTCCCCCCCCTGTGCTTTCAAGGGTCCGTGGGCGCACTCCGTGCTTTGCAGGCAGCCTGGCACCCCGAGCACCCAGCCCGTCCCTGCCTGCTGTCATTGTTCCTCCCGCAGCTCGTTAGTGTGGGTGTCTCGGGTCGGGTGGTGGAGTTCGGTCTGAAGGTGGATCCGAGTCAGAAAATGAATCTGCTCCCAGCGTCAGGAGAGGCTGCAGCTGCCCAGTGTTCATTTACTGGCAGGCTCTTCCCCAGACTCCTGGTCCTCCCCGTCCCCGTGGCGGTTCTCAGCGGGCAGTGCCAGGCAGCGAGCTCTGCCCCGCAGCTGAGCGGAAGCCGGGGGTGGGAGGCCTCACTGCTGCTGAACGTGTTTCAGGAACTACGAGCAGATTGTGAAAGCTCATCAGGACAACCCGAACGAGGGGAAGGAGCAGGTCTCTGACGAGGTGAAGTTCAATGTTTTCCAAGGCATTATGGATTCCCTGTTCCAGTCCTTTAACGCCTCCATCTCAGTCACGAGTTTTCAGGAGCTCTCGGCTTGCGTCTTCAGCTGGATTGAGGAGCACTGCAAGCCCCAGGTGAGCGGAGCTGTGGGCGGGCTGTTGCGACGGCGGAGGGAAACAGGGCAGAGACCACTGCAGCCAGCTGGAGCGCGGGGCCGGGCAGCGTGTGACCGCGGCAGGGGCGTAGGGTGGTGGATGGGGGACAGTGCCCGAGCTCCAGCCTCTCCCAGTCCAGCTGCTGGACTGGTTTGGTGCTGAAAACTGGCCAGGGTGAAACAGAGTTCAGAAGGAGAGTCCTGCCGGGGACGTCGCTCCCGCAGGACGCCCCAAGGTTTTCTGGGGCTTAAACCTCTGCGGAGGGCGGGCACTCGGGCAGGGCCGGGGCCCTGCCCTGCTGCGGCTGCCTGAGACCCCGCGGCCCGGGAGCAGAGGCGGGAGCCTTTCCTGTACCGGCGTGGCGGCGTTTGGCACCGCGTGTGCCAGCTCCAGTGCCGGGACCGGGGTTGGTGCCCGCGGCACACGCACCAGGCTCTCGCGGGAGTCACTCACCGGGGATGGGCCCTTCCGCCGCTGGAACGACTGACCATGTCCTCTCTGCCCCAGACGCTGCGGGACATCGTGATCGGGGTCCTGCACCAACTGAAGAGCCAGCTCTACTGAGCCTTCCCGCAGCAGCGCCAGCGGCTCCGGGGCTGCCGCCGCCTCCGCACCCACGGGGCCGGGGCGCCTCCTGCGCGGGGGCCCGGGTGCCAGGAAGGGCTGGGCCGTCTCCCTTCTGGCCGGTCTTAAAGCTTCTCCGAGTTATTTATTGTGTTAACTACGAAACCCAAAGGAGGCCACGCAGACACCTCTGCCCACAGGTGCTGGCACGGTCACTATTACCAAATATTTGTAGGGACTTAGGAAAGGCAGGGGAAAAAGCATGTGTTGAGCAGGGGTCTTTTAAGGTGCCAGAGTCTTTAGCTCAGGCAGGCGCGGCCGGCTTTGCCTGTGCCACCGACTCTCCGCTGCGGAGCAGAGCTGCTCCGTAACCTCAGGCCTCCGCCACAGCCCCCTCTGATCCCGGGGAGAGGAACGAAACAAGAATGCACGCTAAAAGGGGTTGGTTTCTGTTAAAACAGAGCAGGACTGGGCTCCTCCCGTAACTGGGGGCTTTCTCGCGCCTCCCTCTGAAGCAGCTCTTACGGGGCAGGATTTTTAGTTGTGTGCGTGCTCTGGGAGAGCTGGCTGACGGATGAGCGTGGCGCTGAGCCGCCGGCACGCGCCAGGGCCTTGCTAAAACCCGACCTCTTCTGCTGTAGCCACAGTTCCCCTGACGGGGCGACAGGCGCGAGCTCTCTGCGCAGCTTTTCCCGCTCGCGCTGCTGAGCGCTGGAAGGCGTCCGGCTTCATCGTCTTTGGGTTTTGATGTGGCCGTAGCGACCAGGGAAGTGGTTTGGTGGCTGTAGCACAGTGCTGCCATGGGCTCTCGCTGCTCCTCCTTAGAACTTTTACATGGATACGTACGCATAATCAGCCTTGATTGGATGTTATTTTTGTTTTTATCAATCACTGAAATCATCCTGGCGTATCACCAGCGTCAGCGTTGCAGACGGGTGCTCTCTGGGACACGTTTCAACCTCTCGCGCGCTGCTGTCGGTCTGGCCAGCACAGACGCTTCGCGGGGTGGCACAGCCACGGCCCAAGCGACGGTTGGTCACCGCACAGCGCGATTGTACCAGGCTCCTCCAGCGCGGTGACGTCGGCAGCAGGATTCATTCTCTGCAATCGCGTTCGTGTTCCCACTCCAGGGGTAGCGGATATTTATTTTTACACCGTTTTTCCGCTGGCGCTGAGGTAGCGCTCGGCTCCAGGTTACGTCCTTTGAACGCTGCAGCACGAGAACGTTTAGGCTACTGCTTCTACCCCCATTTAGCAGCAGAGAACCCCGTCGGGGGGCGGGCGTGTGATCTTTACGCAGAATTCTTCTTCAAACCCTGCCTCTGGGTGCCCTCTGCAATGCACGGGAAGCCCCAGCGTCGAACCCTGCGGTGATGCGCGTCACCACAGCTGCGTCTCGCCTGGAAGCTGTCGCTTTGCGATGAGGAAAATCCCCTCTGGTGGGCGGGCAGCTCGGGGCTCGGCCCGCGGCCAAACGAGGGCCACAGCCTGAGCCCTGGGGCTGCGCCAGCCTTGGGAGGAGGACGTGCAGTTCTACAGACCTCACATGTGAAAGCCAGATATTTTTCTATTGTGAAAAGTAATTAAATAAATTTTGCTGAATGTTTTAATCATTTTTTTTGCTTTTATTTCTGTCGCTGAGTGCCTGGAGCCGTCCCCTAGGGCCGGCCAGGCGGCTTCTGGGAGCCCGGCCCCGCCGCCGTGGCGCAGGGTCCCTGCTCTGGCTCTTGCCTTCCCCGCCCTCCGGGCTGCGGCGCCCCAGAGCCCAAACCCTGCCCCGACGCCCTCTGAACAGAGAAAAACACCACAGCAGAGCACGGCTGAACCAAAACCCGGTGTTTAATGGATGGGGGGGCTCACGTGCCGCTCCGCCACGCTGCGGGACGCGGCTGCAATACGCACCGAGCTCTGCAGCCGCAACAGGCGCTGGGGCATTCGCCTCCCCGAGGCACGCGCTTCCTTTCCGTGCTGGAACACCAGGCGCACTGCAGCCCCGCGGGGACGCCCGGCCTCGCGGCTC